CAGACACACACTGACACACACGTGGTGACCGCCCCGTGTCCTCTGCAGGTCCCGTGTGTGCGGGCGTGGTTGGTCTGAAGATGCCTCGGTACTGCCTGTTTGGCGACACCGTCAACACGTCATCACGTATGGAGTCCACTGGCGAAGGTACGTGCACAAAAACAGGTCATGTGACCTGACGCTGCAGTTTCAGCCTGAAACCTCTGAACTGTAACTAAGTACTGGAGTACTAATCCAGAGGGAACATTGAACTTTGACCTCTGCATTCTTCAGGTGTTCACACGGAAAATAAATGGGTTCAGATCCACGTGTTAACGATCACACTGAATACACATACGATGACCAGGTCACGTGACTTGGCGCGATAGATAGACGTGAACGAAGACGTCGCTCTGTGAATGCTGACGCAGCAGCGCCCTCTGCAGGCTGCTGCTTCCCTGTTGATGGGCTTCAGTTTAGTGACTCAGTCTGAGTAAGCTGATACTGCAGTTTGTGCTCCATGAACAGTTTCTCTGTTACACGTGTAACAGCTGAGCTTCATTAACAGGAAGCAGATTTATTAAAGCCCCTTCAGAATAAAGTGATGTTCTTTAAATAAACAGCAGATTAGATTTTTGCAGGTTGGACTGAAAAACCTAAAGCAGCATTTTTATTCCTGCTGCTGTTGCCAAACATGACGTGTGTGTGTGTGTGTGTGTGTGTGTGTGTGTGTGTGTGTGTGTGTGTGTGTCTGTAGCGCTGAAGATCCACGTGTCGGCGGCGACTCGAGACGTTCTGCTAGAGTTCAACTGCTTTCAGCTGGAGCTCCGAGGGGAAATCGACATCAAGGGCAAAGGGAAGATGACCACCTATTGGCTGCTGGGAGAGAGCGACAGCCAATGACAAAGCACTGTCAACAGGAGGACGACAGGAGAGGACGGAAGAAACGAGGAAAAGAACTGAGGAGTGAATAAGGGGTAACACCGCTACAGATGAGGGGACGAGGAAAGGACAGAAGGGAGCGCAGCTTGAAGGAAAGGAGGACTCACTCGAGCGCTCCCCGCCTCCTTGCTGCTTCTCATCTCCGAGCAGAAGGACTTTGGATGGATTGGGACTGTCGGACGGGAGGAAGTGACACAGGAACGGAGGCACACAAGGACCCGGACTCTCCTCACACTCGGATCAAAAGTGTCCTGCTTTCCGGTCCTGGAAAAAGAGTTTTTCGCCGTCGTCTCGCTGGTACTCCGAGCAGTTTGTCTCTCCACGCTGACGTTCACCATGCTGCCTCTTCTTCACTTTTATGTGGCCCTGCATTCATCATCTTCATTTCCTGTCCCTGCTGTCACTGGAGGAGGGGCACCTGGACAGAGCGCCGCCATGCTAAGATGGTGAGGCTAAGGCTAGCCAGCAGGTTTGAACCTGGAACCTCGTTGCTGTGAGTCAGCGGCGCTAACCATTAACGTGGGGTGTAATCTGAGCTCAGTACTGCCCCTGAGGCCAGACACAGGAAGCACCCACACCACAGCAGAGAGACGCTGTTTGTCCTGCCTGAGAAGCAAACACAGCTTCTGTGGGAGGAACATCTGTGCTGTAGCCCCTCCCAAAACCTCTGACGTCAGCGGCTGCGGCTTTGAGCACGTTTATTTGGTGGAGCCGCACATTTAAGATGACCTCCTCACAGTGAGGGTGAGACAGCGTAAAGTGCAACGTTAAAAATGCAGAGCTGCTCTGATTCTAGCGAGTAAAGACCGGAAGAGCCTGAACCTGCAGGGACCAACGGGAGCGCTTTATATACCTGCAAAAACAACCACGCTAACGTCCTCCTGCTTCCTCTTTGCCTCTTGTTTTCATGTGACGTCCATGACAGGAAGAACACCTGATAGGGCAGAAACGCAGGAAGTGATGTGGGTTAGCTTCCTCGGGGGAGACTCGGCACAGCTGAGCTGACGGAGGCTGTTCAGCAGTTTGCTCTCTGTATATAAATCAGTTTCACTGCAGTGAAGTCAAGTTTGTTTCACCTGATTTTGTTCGATATCCCGACGGGACGAACACATCGGATCGGCCAGAGAGACAAAGGAGTCAATCTAATCTGTGAACTACAGCGTTCTCCAAATATCATCAGTGAGGAAAAAACAGTCAAAGTTTCAGAAGCATCAGTGTTTTTATCACACATGGTGAAGTGAGGAGTGAGCGCGGGCCCTCAGCTGCGTGCTGTCTGTTTGCATCCCTGCAGCCAGGAGCTCCTGACTCAGGCTCGTATACCACAGAGGACGCTGTGCATCAGAAAAACGCTGAAGCTAAAAACAAAGCGCTGAGTTTGGGGACTGTTCTTCAATAAGCAACCAGATCAGCGTACGTCACCTCGCAACGATCAAAGAATCAACATGGAAACCGCGCTGCCGTTTCAGAGCCCGAGAGGAACAAAAGACTGCAGAGCTGCAACGTGTCCGAGCACACGGTCGTCTTCTGCAGCTGCTCTACAGCAAACGCACATCTGTGAGGCGCCGTCACAAACAGCTGGAGAACATCAGAGACTTTCACCAATCAGTGTTGAATGGATCATTATAACATCTGCACATGTTTCAGATCATTTAAAGTAATTTATATTCTGCTTATTGAAACTAGATCAACGTATTTTAATCCCACCATCGTCTGAATAAAAGCCTCGAGCTGTGTGTGGTGTGGTTAACTTTGATGTCTGAGACATTCAAGTGAAAAAATGAAATCATCTCAAATTAAACTTTGCTTCCTCGCTAATGCTAATGCTAGCTGTGTTTCCACAGGAAGTGCAGATTGTAGCTGACGTCAGAGGACACTCGCACACTTTCACCAGTTTACAGTCAAACACCTCCAGTTTAGGTCCCGCCTCTCAGCTGGGATGGACCCGTCCATACAGTGGACACAGCTACAGAGATAAGCACAGCTTTCGATGACAGCAGGCGACTGCAGGCACAAGATGGCAGTAATGTGAAGGCCGGATCAGACGAGTGACGGCGCCGTCTTTGTGCTCGCCGCGTTGCTTGTGTCGCGAGCGTCACGTGACGACTTTCACATCACATTCTGGGTCACAGTCTTTCGCCCGCCATGGCGGTTTTGGCGTGGCCGTTGCAGCCGGGTTGAAGACGTGAGCGTGCGGTCTGGCTCCTGACACACGGAGGGAAAACTTTGTGGAAAAAATCTCGGCTTCTGCTCCCACTCAGGCTTCCTGCGCTTTAACAGCGGGTAGAAATGTCAGCGTTTGAACACATGTCTGTTTTTACAGTGTCCTGGTGGGACACCATGCATCACATTTATCTGTTTGAGCAGAATTTCTCATTGTAAATATTTTTAAACTGTGTACATTAAACCTTTTTAGGTATTATTGATCAGTGAGTCAGACCCACTGAGACCGACCAGTCTTACGTTACATCTTAAAAACACGTTTAAAGGTGGTAACCTGACAAACCTTCAGGGAAAGTGATGTAAAGACACTCTTGCTCATCGTCCTCGGGCCTGATTTAAGCCAATGTTCTTCACTGTGGTGAGCAGACGACAGCTGAGGTTCACCGAAGCTTCACTCCAGACAATCGGAGCTCAGGTCCAGGGTCGGACTTCAGTCCGGAGGACAAAAAAACACAGCCTTTCTCTGTGACGCTGCAGAACGACAGCGTGGGAACATTGAGCTCGTCTATTTTTGATGTTCTTCACTCTCAGCAGCGTTCTTTGGTACCTGACAATCTCAAGTTCACATTTCCAAGTCCTTCAATGGCGTTGTCCCTCAGATCACTGAAGCATCCCTGAGGGAGACCACATCGCTTCAGCCTGAAGGGACAAGCACGGACGTGATGGATGAACCATAAGGGTGGCCGTGGTCGCTCTGCTTGCCGCTCCAGTAAGGCGCAGGAAGCTGCAGCAGTGTTCTCAGTATTCAATCTCGCCACATAAGATTTAGAAAGAGGAAGCCAAAACTGGAAGAAATCGTTCGGCGAATCAGCTCACTGCTAGTTTCAAAGTTTGTTATAATATGAAAAAGTTCAAATAGAAATCTCAAAGATGATTAAAAATACTGGAGCAAAGTTAAAAAAGGAACTTTAAAAACTTGAATCTGGTATTTTTTTAAAGAAAATTTGGATGAAGAGATCAAAATAATTTTAAGTCCTGTTGTCTTTGCTCGAATGTTCCTAAACTGGCTGCAAATGGAACTCAATGATCTTAAAGGTTCTTTAATCAGACCCAGAGAACAGCGGTCACTCAGACATCCGAGCTTAGAAACAGAGTTTTCCTGCCACATGCAGTCTTCTGTTGGGATCACCTCATCTCTGGCACGAAGTGGGAGGACGCGGGGCTTCTGCACAGCGTCCTTCTGCTACCTAGCAAGGTGAACGAAGTGCTTTAAACTTCTGCACAGGTGCGACGCTGGTACAACGACCTCACACACAAACGTGATTCTCAGTTATTGTGGAAAGATGTCTTCAGGACTACGGCATAAACGCTTCTGTATCTTTAATTATTTTAAATTTCGTATTCACTGATGGTTCTGAACAGAAAAGCCCGACGCCATCAATCGGTCTCCGAATCATAAAGCAGTCAGGACTTCATCTTTCAAATCAAATCAAATCACTTTTATTGTCACATCACATGTGCAGGTACATTGGTACAAAAAGAGAGAGAATGGGTAGTGAGTCGGAGTATAGCAAGCATAAGTCTCTACAGTTCTGAAGCATTTGCTTCGATGGGGGTCAGCAAGTCTCAGCTTCAATAGCAGAGGTGGAAGGATGGTACAGGGACATGGTGGCTTTGAAGCAGGCTGACTACAGACAGAAGAGGGAAAGTTGAAATGGTGGAATTCAAGGCCGCGAGCGCGCATGACTGAGGCGCGGACGTCGGAACCAGTATTTGGTACGTTCACCTTCCGAAGCACCCGCACATACTCTCAGACACAGTGTGGCATGACGTACGCGTGCAACTGTGCCTCAGGGTCGCATGGTGAATCTAGCGTAGAATACGTTTAGATCCTCACACAGAGAGGCCGTGGTCTGCGGTGTGCTGGTTTTCCCTCTAAAGTCTGTGATCGTGTTTAGTCCCTGCCACATACTCCGAGGGTTGTCAAACTGTTGCTCCACCCTGTCCCTGTACTCACGTTTGGCTGCTTTGATCGTCTTCCGGAGTTGGTAATGTGCGTGTTTGTAGTCCGATGTGTTCGCGGAGGCAAAGGCGGTGCTCCGTGCCGCGCGAACATCTCCGTTAATCCAGGGTTTTTGATTTGGGAAGGATTTAACTGTTCTGGATGGGACGACATCTTCCACGCATTTCCTGATAAATCCACAGACTGAGTCTGTGTATTCATCAATGTCTTTAGCAGCCACGTGAAACATTTCCCAGTCCGCGTGATCAAAACAGTCCCGCAGCGCAGACTCCGATTGGTCCGTCCAACAGTGCACCGCCCTCCGGGTTGGAGCTTCCTGTTTCAGCTTCTGCCTGTAGGCGGGCAGGAGCAGGATGGAGCGGTGATCTGATTGGCCGAATGGGGCGCGGGGGAGGGCTTTGTACGCATCCCGGAAAGAGGTGTAGCAGTGGTCGAGTAGCCGGTCTCCACGAGTGTTAAAATGGATGTGTTGGTGGAGTTTGGGTGAGACTTTCTTCAGGTTTCCCTTATTAAAGTCTCCGGCTGTGATAAACGCCGCCTCTGGGTGTGCGGTTTCCTCACTGCTGATCGCGCTGTACAGTTCCCTGAGTGCTCGGTCAGTATCGGCTTGTGGGGGAATGTAAACAGCCGTAATAATCACTGCTGTAAATTCCCTCGGTAGCCAAAATGGCCGGCACTTAATCATCAGGTACTCCAGGTCCGGTGAGCAGAAGGATTTGACCGGGTGCACGTTCGCATAATCACACCAGCTGTTGTTGATCATGAAACATACACCACCGCCTCTGCTTTTCCCAGTAAGATCCTGTGACCTGTCCGCGCGATGCACGGAGAACCCCGGCAGTTGTATTGCAGAGTCCGGTACCTTGTCCGATAGCCAGGTTTCTGTGAGGCAGATCACGCAGCAGTCCCGCATCTCTCGCTGGAATGAGATCCGTGCCCGAAGCTCGCACAGCTTGTTCTCCAGAGACTGCACATTAGCCAGTAATAAACTGGGTAACGGTGGTCTGTTAGTGCGCCGTCTCAGTCGAACCAGAACGCCAGATCTTCTCCCTCTGCGTCGGCGTTTGCGGCCTCCAGGGACAGAGAACAAAGGCGTCTCAGGTGAGATGAATGGGGGGTCTGCAAACGGAGCGTCCGTGTTGCAAAACTTGAACTCCGGAAAGTTATAAGAAAGACCGTCTTTTATGTCCAGTAAGGTTTGTCGGTCGTACACAAGGAGACATGTGCTACTCGCGAAAAAATG